TAGTGAAAGTGTCTGTTTAAACCCTGAAATATACCAGACAAACTGTCTCTATGAACATCTGCCACTTTAGGATGCCCTCTGTGGTGTTACCATGACGATCGAGTCAATCCTTAGAACCTGCTCCATTCTCGGGTGTGCTGCATTCTAGAATTCCAGAATCCCAAATCCATCCAGGTAAGTTCTAGAACGGATTCCACCAAATTCTCCGCCCTCTCTCTCTGTCTCTCTCCATCTCTGTATATATTCAGCCATTTTGCAAACAAACAAAAACAGTTTGGTAGTCCCTTTCTCCTATAGCTGTGTAGTGACGGAGTCCTCTATGACCTCGCAGCTGTCCTCGATGACATCATCGCAAGGTCCCACCCAACCGCCCATCATCATCACCCCTCCTCCTCCCCGTCCTCCATCCACGCTGCCATCACCCGATCCTCCCATGCCTCCACCCTGGAAAACGTCCTCACTGGAGTCCAGGAGGCGCGAGCTGGACTCAGACATGTTGGAAGCACAGTGCAGGGATTGGCAGGGGCAGGGGGGCGGGAGGGGCAGTGTCAAAAGCGAGTCTCGCCCATTCGTTCTCCGAGGAGAGAACGACGGGTTACTGATGTCAACAGAACGGCCCATCTCGTTCAGGTGAGTCTCGCTTCTGGTCACGTTGCTGAGTCCGAAGTCGGAGTGGCTGTGGCTCCCCAAGGGGCGGAGCAACCCGTCAGAGATGGTGTAGGAGACTGGGGACTGAACAGGGACAGGCATGGGTGGGGCTTTGCGTTTGGAGCGGGAGAACAGGTAGGAGAGGCGTTTGAAAGAGTCCGTCTTTGCACTCGGACCTGATAGGCGCTGCAGACGGCTCCTTGTACGAGCGAGTGATGATGAGAGTGCTGAAGAGAATGATGAAGATGACGACGGGACAACAGAGGTGGAGGATGGAGAGATGACGGTCGTCTTCAGCCCATTGCTCTTTGGTTTTCCCTCCTCTTCCTCCTCCTCTGTCCCCCATTCAATACCTTCCTCCAGCTCCTCCCCACCTACCCCCCTTTCTACCTGGGTCATTCCAGAAATGGAACGCACCAGTGCAGACACGCCGAGCGTTGGTGTCGGCTTTGTGTCGTCTTCTGCTGGAGTCATGAAGGTCACGCTCTTTGATCTCTGGACTCCCAAGCCTCCTCCGGTGCCTTCACCTGACTCGCTGTCGTCCTCAGATGCCATGGCACCATCATCTTTCGTTGTCTCACTGGAGGAGGAGTAGTTACGCCGAGGAGGACGCCGGTTCCCAAGGAGATCTAGGACCTCGTAGCGGAAACTGGAGATGTCTTGCTTCAGCTCCTAAAGATAGACATGAATTCATAATGTAAATCCTAAGGATATAACATTTCTTACTATGAGAAGCTAAAATTGAGGTTTAAAAAAAGTAGCACTTCTACTTTTCATTTGGAGGGATGTACTGTTAATTCTAAATCCCTATATCAAAAAAATATCTAATATCCAAAGGAAAACCAAGAAGTAAAAACCACAGAAAGGGACGGCGAGGGTGAGGGTGAGGAGGGTAAGTGGGAGAGATGAGGCTGATGACTGGCTGAGAGAGGGGAGGTGAACCATTAGTTTGTAGAAGCAGAGGGTGAAGAGGAGGGTGATGAAGAGAGGAAGATCAAGGTCAAGAGACATGCAAAAAGAGAGGAAAACAGAGTGGATAAATCCTGAAAGTGAGTGTAAAGAGACTGGGGTCGGTGGAGGGGAAATGACGAGAAGCAAACATTTATTCTCAGTTTAGTTGGCATCAATGAAACTTGTAGGTTTAGTCTCAACTGCTTAACATAAAAGAAGAGAAAATAAAGGTTTAACATGGACAAAATGAGTAAGTCTGTTAACCCAACAGTATTAAAATATCAGAAGCTTCAGGGTTTACTCAAAGTTTCTTAAACTGTATAGCCACACATCTGACACCAAGTACTTCTGTACTGAAGATGACAGTGTAACAAGTATTTATGGCAATGCTAATAGCTAGATAGCCTGCTAGCGTTGCTACTGTACTGTACTAATGATATAGCTTCCTCCTGCTGATGGAAAATTTGTTGGTAAAACTGATGATGAAGTGACCAGCGTTCCAAACTCAACTTTTTTGACTGTTATGAATACATCATCTTGGGCAGTAAGATTGCAAGTCAGCAACAACATAGTGCGACCCAACTTTGGGAGACACGAGTAGCAAGAAAGGGGTGAGATAAACTCACTGATGTCTCACACCCTGTACCCGATATCACCTTTGCAAATATCCTATGACCAGAGGTGTGTTATATCTTGCAATACAATTGTAAAGAACAATTCCAGGTGGTATGGTCCAAAGTGTCACTTAGCACTGAGTTGTATTTGATTTTGGGGAATGATACTAGAGCACTTTCTTGTGGTTTTTGTCTTTAATGTCTGTAATTGCCATTGTGTGGCATTGTCAGCAAAATATAATGCTAGATCAATGGAGCAGCTAACTTTCTCTGAGTAAAGAAAGAAAGAAGAAAGAAGTGGAAACGTTATTCTTCACGGTCTTTAATGGGTCAAACCCTTAAAATTCTGGTTCTTCCACTTCCTACAAGGTACTCAGTAACATGAGATCATGAAATCATGATTTATTCTCCACACTTCCAATTTCCAAAGGACCTTGAGAGCCCTAGGACATACCCTCGTGTTTATTTGAACTGTCATTTCTTCTAAAATTGGTTTACAGTACAATCTAAATCTGTATAGAGACCCAGACATTATGCGATATCTATATTTCTGTGTATTTTCATGGAACAGAGACAAATTAGATCAGTTTCTTCTGACTGAGAGTTCCATCATGTTGTTTGTTTGTATTTTTTTGCTTCAGGCCATCTTTACTTTAAAACAACTGTTAACAGTTTCCATTTGTTTATACTCCAAATCTTTTGCTTATTTGTGTTACAAACAATCTGCATTCGAATTGCTTTGAATTTCTCTTCATCATCCGTATGATGTGGGTCTTCATACCCAGTTTTCTTACATAATAGCTAGAGGCTGTGGATGGGCGGGGCCAAGCAATTATTTGTAGCTGTTTATTTAGTGTGTATATTATGTAATGTTGCTTTGTTCTTTTTAAATTGAGACCTTTAGGACATTTTTGGAAAATGGGATTCTACATCTCCAAAGATTAGCCTTTTAATCATTTCATCACAGATTAAACGAATTATATTCCTTAAATCAGTTGGTTTCTAGAAATGGATAAGCATTGAAGGGAAGGAATTGCCTCTCCCTTTTTCCCCCAAGAAGAAAGTAAAACAACTATTGGAAGATTTTCACTGTGTTGCTTAGCTCTGAAGCATCCACCAGGGAGGAGGGCTGATGTTTATTCCCATTCAGATCACGTGCATCGTGAATTTAGCCTGTAGCTTTAATACAGAAAATTACCATAAATGCCTGCATAAACATGCACTCTGTTTACTGTAACTCGCTGCTTGCTGTATTTTTCTCCTGCAAAACAGAGAGCAACGAGACCCAAATAACTCTGCTAAAAAAAAAAAAATCCTTTTTGTCTTTCTCACCATATGGGATCCAAATGCTTCACTGGGGAGAGTAAAAACTGACTTCAGCATGCACCTGATCTTAGCTACGTGTTTTTAAGCACACAAACGCGCACTCTCTGCACAATTACAACTCCCGTATTCTACATTAGTACACACTGAAGTACACGAGCACACTCGGGGTGTGAACATTGATTGAGTATGATGTGCACCTGATGTTGTTTTTGCATTGAAAAACCCAGAGGAACTTTCCACTTCAAAGCCCAGGCTGGGCTCCAAGGGCTTCATGAGAAACAGACTCGGGAGGTAAAAGCAGCTCAGAATAATTTATGGCCCAGAATATTTTGGAAAGGCAAAGAAGCTCTCTTCAAGGGTTATTGACTTAATGGCTGGTATTGATGAGAGCTGTAGATTTGGGGCAGGAGGTGGTTATTAAAAATCGTTTGATAAATCTCAGTAGAGACGAAGAGCAGCTCTGCATCTGGTATCAATGAAACCTGCACTATTATCACAGCACTAACATACATAAACAGTTGCTGTGCTCTGTTTCTGCAGACTGGCCTGTGAAGCTTTTAATTACAGATTTGCTGCAAACCTGAAGAAAGATGGATTTTACACTCATTACTTACAACATGTGAGAGGTGTTCTGTCTTTATTCTGATCACCCACCTTAAAGTTTTCCTCTGTCAGTCCCTCGTCTGTCTTGGCACTGCGTATCATTGCTGCCACGTACCTCTTCACCAGGTTCCGGATCACTTCCTGTTGGAGACAGGTGCCATAATTTCATTGCTAGCATGTGGTTGTGGTTTTGTGATGGACCTGTCCAGTCTATGCTAACACCTGCTGATAGCTTCACACTCCACCCTCTCTGTACTCTCAACTGCTCTTTCGTTGGTTACAGCCAGTTCACAGGTCATTGTTGTTAATATCAAATCAACCAATCACATGAATTTAGGGCATGTAGAGATTGTCAAAAATCAACAAAGAACTGAGGTGCAAGGCAGGAGGACAATCAACCCCCAGCCCTAGGGGAGGAAGCAAGAGTTACTGAGAGTGAGGGGCAAACAAAGGGCAAACGCACACTACCTTAAAAGGATTTGGGGGTCAGGGTGTCAGCACCCTTGGCCACTGTACTAGTGTATTTCTATTGTGGAGGGGAGGAGACCAGAGGTTATAACTGTAACTGTTGTGTGGAGTTCTTTAGATCAGCCTTTAGCATAGGACTGCATAGGAGTGCAGTGTGCTGATCTCCAGATGCATCTGTAAGAATAATGGGTAATAAAAGGATTGTGTAAAACATGGAAACATCTCAGCGTGATCTCTATCAGGACCAAAAGAATCGCAGAGACCGGCGTTGTCTCAACAGTTTCCAGCAGCTTGTTGAATCTGTGCCATGAAGAATTAAGTTAAAATGCTAAATTGGGGTTTTTAAAAAGCCTTGAGAGTGTCTTGTAGTTCTTGGACGTTTAAGCTTGTATTTATCTTCTCTGTAAATCCCTCCAAACAAATCGCCTCCAAATCAAGGATGTGCTCCTACTGAAAAAATAATCCCTACAAAGAGAAACTTCACAAACTTACTAAGTACTTACTATACTGGCTAAATCCATCTCCATGATACACTGACTTTTACTGATTTCTAATGTACTGAAAACCCACTGAATTTTTATTCATTCAGATATTATATCGTTGTGCTCTGTGTCTGTCTGAGCTGTGTGAACATTGCAATGCAGCACAATTCAACCCTGTGTAGGAATTTAAATGTTATTGTCTCATTAAGTAATCAGCCAATGAGGCGGGTCACCCTCATTGATTTACAGACCAAAGACAAATTTCACAAGCATTTGGTGCTCAGTGGGTGGCAATTCAAACCCTGACACACTGCAACAGTGCGCGCACACACTAACACACTGCATCCTCCCACAGTCAACACCTGTGCCTGCCAAACAGGACGGTCTGGCATGCTGTCACTCTCCGCCTCTGCCAAGACACACCACACACTCTTGTTAAAATGCAGGACAGATTCCTGCAGCAAACCTTAAAAAACATGGACGGATATCAAAGTAACAATCAGCACTGCCAAATACAAAGTACTGGCGTTCCTGCGTTTGTAGTCCCTGCCAGTGCTGAGGTGTCAAAATAAAAGAGCTCAGTTTTGGTTGATTTGCTCTACTAATACTGAAAAAAATCCCCTTAAAGCTGGACATCAAACGGAGGGTTACAGCTGCCAAAAACAATACACGGTTTCGTTTACTGAAAAAGGTGCTCGCTGTCTTTGTAACTCAAAGTAGAGCAAAACTCTCAAAACACAAATTCACTTGGATTCACAGTAATCAGACCTTTTGCTATTCACCAGATGAAAAGCACACAAGCTTTTCTCTAGTGATTTTTAAGGCCATGGGGGTTAAAAAATTCTCAGGTGATAATAGTTACCTGACGTTCAAGAGAAACAGTGAAGATGTTTCAGAGGATCTGGATTACATTGGCCTTATCAGCGAGCCTTTACTGAACCCTACAGCACCCTTGAATCATACACTTTAGAATCACAGATTCACTGGTTTTCAATGTTGAGGCCTCAACATTTGCATTATGGCAGCCAGATGAAAGTACTGGCTTTCTGAAGCCACATGTGGCCATCTTTGGACAAGAGTCAAACAAATGGAAGCGAGACCGAGTAGTAATACAAAGTGGGGACTTTACATATAACTCGGTGACTATAAACCTGAAGGCACTGAGTTTGCTGGCAAAGCAGTGTGGGGAAAAGTAGTAAGGACACTCCTACTGTATGTCAGTAAAGATGAAGACTGTGCAGGAACTACACACCTGGTAGTGCTGATTCTGCCTCAGACTGTCGGCATGACGCTCCTGCAAAGAGAAGAAACGTTGTGTTAATACATGGTTTTCCACATTTAGCAAAAAGTTCTTTTACTCCTGTATCTCCAAAAATGTGCACTCCCTTACAACTAAACTGTACCCTCACTTATGAGCGCAGGGAACGCCCTCTCTCCACCAAAGACCAACAACGCCTACATAAGGAGGCAAGGAGGCAACAATGACACTTTCATCTGGTATATTTGGGGTCAACTCCTCTATGGGACCATTTTTATTAAGGTTTGGCTCTTCTTCTTCTTGCTGCTGTACCCTTTTAAGGGTTACTGCAGCAGATCACCTGCCTTTATCTTACCCTATTCCCTAGCATCCTCTGTCACTTAACCCTTTGCATGTCCTCCTTCACTACACCCATGAATCTTCTCTGTGATTTGGTAGATTGTGTTAAACAGTCTGGTCACTGCCCTCTCTAATTGACTCCATACCTCCACAGGATTGTCATGAAGCATAAAAAGTTGTACAAAATGCTTTGAGTGCCCAGGTAGAGTAGAGAGGCACTATATAAGACCCAGTCCTTTTACCAACCACTCTTCAACCTCTTCAAAGCTGCCCTCACTTCCTCCTCACTAATCCTCTGCACCTTTTTATTCACCAACTTTCCTCTTTTCTCCCTCTCATTTTCTTATTTTTCATAAAAAAAAAAACTTGCAAGGTTTTGTTTAGAGTGTACCCTTTAACCAGACAACCTTCTTAGAAGTTTCACAATTTTTTGGGTTGTCAAAGCAGTTTGGGGAAGCTCTGGCTACAATATTTCCACTTAGCTTCTGACAACAAAACCCAATTTGGAGCGGGTGGGCAAACGTTTCTGCCTGTCACTGTTTCAAATACAGGTAAACTGAAAGAAAAAAAAACTTTGCTGAATCAAAGGATGACAGCTGGTGAACTGAGCCCGGAAATTTGCTAATGTGTCCCCTCTTTTTGCTCTCCACATAGACTGTTTACCTTTGAGCTAGTCGAGCCTGTTCAAACGCGATTGTGCCACAGAAACGAGACTACAAACAGAAACCACAAATATGCATATTCATATCGGTTTATAGAGATCATCATCAGGATGATAAATCTGACATTTTTATAGAGAGTTTATCTCTCTTCTAGTGCCAAACTGAACCAAAAGCAGCCAGGTAACAAATTGATTTTGGGAATTTCATAAGAAAATTAAGCTTTTACAATCCTTCATACTAGAGAGGTGCCGAATAATGAATTTCATTTAATCATTTTTTTTCCACTCAAAACGATTATATATGTAACAGTTTAAAGGGCCAAGTTATGCCCTTCATTCACATTTCAGTGCTGTCATCCAGAATCACAATCATTACAGTGGCAGAAACGAGCAGAAATGTGAATCTCTCCTCTATAAAAGGCTTTTCTCACCTTATCCAATGATAAATTTAATCGAGGCGAGCATGCTGGGAGCATGAAGGTTATTTTTAGCGGGCTACAGCAAACCAAACCTAAGACACAGGACTTGTCACTCTGCTGCAGACTTTGCTGAACTCAAGAAGACAAACAGACATGAATACGTGCAGATTTCACAATACGATATCACATATAGAATAATAGATAAATCGAGGTGAAACCGTTAAAGGAGTTCAGAAAAAAGTAGAGAAAACATCTGTTTTCACATCAAACCCATACAAGTAACCGCTGCGCTAAAGTGACAACAGGTTTAAAAAAAAAAAAAAAAAGGTCAGAAAACACAATAAAATATATGATCGAATTTTTCCTTTTTATTATGAGTCATTTTACTTTATGTGTATTCTGTGCTGATGTTCTTGTAGCTAAGGATTTTAAATGCAGGATCTAGACAGTTATCTGATCACAACAAATTAAATAATATTAATAAAAAACAATAAATCTGCAGTTGGCAAAACACCTCCCACCTCCACCACGACAGCTCCTCACTTTCCTGCTGTGTGACTTCATGTAACATCTACTGTCACATATGTCTGCGCTGCTGTTCTTCCTGCCTCTGGCTTTCCACGTTTGCCTGCTCGGTCTCACAGCAAAACATGAACTAGTCATAAAAAACAATCTGTGTTTGTGATTCAGATGAGTTTGAAAAGAATGCATTTCAAATGGAAATATATTTGTTATTTGCAGCACGTGCACTCAGTGGCCCTTTTTTGGGTACAACTGCTCAATGCAAAACAGCATGGGCATCACATTGAGGAGGAAAGGAGGTTAATTAATTAATTCTCTGCTTGGATTTTCCCACACAACCATCTTTAGAGTTTAATGAAAAACTATCCAGTGAGCAGCAGTTCTCTGGGAAAACAGAGCAGAACGGCCAGACTGCTTTGAGCTGATAGGAGCATAAACTCAAACAACCACTCGCTACAACCAAGGTATGCAGAAAAGCATCTCTGAATGCATAGCATGTCAGACCTTGAACCAGATGAGCTATAGCAGCAGAAGACCGGACGCCACTCCTGTCAGCTAAAAACAGGAAACTTAGTCTATTACTGTTATTTCTACCACCTCAGTGAAACTGGACAGAAGACTGGATAATAGCTTCCTGTCTGGTGAGTCTTGATTTCTGCTGAAACACTGAGATTGTAGCGTCAGAAGTTGGTTTAAACAACATGAAAGCAGTGGATCCATCATGGTTCAGGCGGCTGATACTGTGATAGCATCGGGAATATTTTCTTGGCACGCTTTAGGTCCGTTAGAGCTTTGTTTAACCCATTAAAACCGCTGTGAGCACAAACTACTGTAACTCCTGAACCAATTGAAAAATTTCAGCAGTTCCTGAAAGCAGCAAGTCTGTGCTTTTCAGTGATATGAGAGTCACGGTAAACCCATGCAAGGTGCTACCTTCCAAATCTCGGCAAATAACACAGGACACAGTAAAAATAATGGTACAAAGAACCCAAAGTCTGTCTGATCTGTCAACAAACCTTTGTCTTCTTGGGGCTGCTGTGACGCCATGACTGGGATTACTGTATTCACCCTAATATCATTGAAAAGTGCAGAGTTGCTGCTTTCAGGAAGCATTGGAATTATTTTAATTGTGCAAATGGTTCAGGAGTTCTGGGAGTTTCGGATGTTTAAAAAAATGTTGCAAAAACCTCTCTGACACCAGCAACAGGTTAGGCTTTAGAGGGTTAAATGCCACAGTTTGCATGAGTTGTATTGTTGCTGATCATTTCCATCCATTTATGACCACAGTGTACCAGGCCTCTGATGGCAGTTACCAGCAGGATAATGCACCGTGTCCCAAAGCTCAAACCGAATCCACAAATCTGGTTTCTTGAACATGAGAATGAGTTCACTGAACTCAAATGGCCTCCACAGTCACCAGATCTCAATGTGATGCAGCACCAAACAGTTTAACCCAAACTACGACTTTCCAAAACATGTAGTTTTAATGCTTAAATCATTTTAAATAAAAAAAAGTAAAGTGTTTCACATCCAAATGTAGACTTTTTCTCCTTTTAAAAAGTGGAAAACACTGATTTCACGTAAATGCACACAAATCAGTATCTGACATACGAGAGCGTGGTGTTCAGGGACACGACAAAAGCTGAAAAACTGTGTTCAGAAACATAACTCAACTGGTCATAGGTTGGGAGGATTTTGAACATGGAGGAGCTGTGGTGAGATCCACAAGTTCATTTTACATGGTAATGTAAAGGCTTTATGGGGCAAAGTATCATTTTTTTAACCTCACACATCAACTTTATCACAATCCTAGACACACGAGAAACAGAGAGCTCATTCAAACCAATTTGCTCCTTTTAAAATCTCAACAATATCAGAAAACAGACGAATATTTGGCCGGATATTTGTCAGCCGCAGATGCACGTCAGCCGTAACTCGATGTTTCATTGGCTCGTCGTCCTTATCAGCATTCCTTCATTTCTGCATCTGTCACACAAACATCCATCATCTCTCTCCTGTTTCGTATCTCGCATTTTTTCATTTTGTTTTCATCTCGGCCCAATCACGGCCGTTTCACCTCTCCGTCTCCACTTCATCTTCGTCATGTTCTACACTCGTCTCACTCGACCCCCTTCGAAACTGTCTCCCTCTCTTTCTCTCACTGCTTGCTGCTAATGCAAAAAACCCCGACACATAAAAAACTTCACTCAACCCCGTCCCTTTCTTCAGAGCAATCATTATTCTTCATATCTCACGCTGTTTTTGTGTTTACTCTTAATACACACACACACACACACACACACACACACACACACACACACACACACACACACACACACACACACAGGCTCTCTCCCTCGATCAGATCTCTGCAGTGCTGTGTGTGTCTCTGTGAACCTATGTGGGCTGGTTGGCTTATATAACTCAGCTGACTTCAGTTGAGGTGAGCATGCCAGCTGCAGTGTGTGTGTGTGTGTGTGAGAATTATCGCTCTGCGCCGCGTGCTCGCCGGCTCTCTCCAGCTGACTGGGCTGTTAAATGTGTTTATCTGCCGATGTTCCTTCTATGATTATAGAAACGCAGCTGATGTTCGTCCACGTGCGGTGCGATTGTATTTGTTAGGCTTTTTCTGTGTTCGGCTCTTTCTTTGCCTCTTTAATCCACCCTCACTGCGAGCAGACCGAGTCCTTCTGCTTTGATCAGGTGGGCGACTGCTCAGAGGTCAAAAAAGCCACATTCACTGCAGATCATTTGGATCTGCATGATTTTATTAATCACAAAAAGAACATCAGCTGACAAGTCCTTCCTCCGCCTCCCCACTCACTTATTGTACTAACTCTGCTGCTTTATGCTGCTTCTATTTCAGTCGGTACTTCACAGCAAACCAAACCATCAACCCGAAATGTTCAGTCATAAGAAGAAAAAGCCTGGATTTCTGTCAGGTTTCACAAATCTCTGTTACTCTAGTGTATGTAGGCTGATCACAGTTGTCTGTGTAATAAACCCCCAAAATTCAGAGTCAGCAGAAGACAAATACAGTATGTCAAAGTTTAAAAGAGAAATACTGCTGTAAATATTGTGGCTTTTATATTGGGACTACTGTCAAATCAATTTTGGCTAAAAAAACCCAAACCAAACCCAAATGCATTATTTTAATGAGAGCTTTTTAAATACATGAGGCATAAACTCCTCACAAGCAGCTGTTCAGCTTTTCTCAGCTAATGGAAATGGACTGTTATTGTCATTATTATTATTATTTAAATTAGTTTTGTTTCTTCTGTGATTCAGTCACACTCGAGCTGGGATGTCAAACTAATTTTACACCGTGGGCCGGACCAGTGAAGCTAATTAATCCCTGACATATCATAATATAAGAAAAACAAGTGCAATCTCAAGAATAAGTCCCTGATTTCTAAATGGCAAATGTGCAAAATAAAAATTCCTGGTAGCTTACTGCCCAGACTGTCCTGTATTTATAGTGGAAAATTCCTATGTTTGACACCCCACTAGAGAACGTAAAAATAGGTTAGTGACCTGATCGCTACTAGGAAAAATTGGTTGTCACTAGGGGTGGGTTTTAATAATCGATTCATCGATTAAAATCGATTCTGGCTTGGATAACGTGACATCGATTCATTAAAATCCTGAATTGATTTTTTAATATAAATGTATTTTGCCCAAAATTCCAGAATCTCAGGTGAAACCTCACAAAATTTCAACAACCACCAAACATTTAAAACTGTAAATGAGAGCAGGAACACGGCTTCTTCACAAAGATGTAAACACAAAGCGCCGACCCGCGGATCAGAATCAGTGAGATGTGACTGCACCTGACGGCACGCACACGGTCGGGGCTGAAAGCCGACAGCTCGCCGATTCTGATGTTTCGGCGGGTCGGCGCTTTGTGTTTACGTCCTTTTTGCGCCGATTCTAAAGCTGTTAGTTTGATCTCTCTCCAAACAATATTGACCGAACCAGCAGCAAAAGAAGATCCAAACTACGCTTCACAAAAACATCGTCATGTATTCACTCTGACTTTTACTGTTTTGCTTCCACCACAATAAAATCACACTTCATGCACAGCCCTCTCTCTCTCTTTCTCTCTCTCTGTACTTCAAGAAGTACAGAGAGAAGTTCAAGAAGTTTCAGTCTAAAAATCGGTTTTCTGCATTATTCGCTTGCTTGTTACGCACAAGTCTACTGTTGTTTACAGCGCTGTCGGCCGATGTTTTTTTTACTTACTTCCGAAAAGAAAACCTAATTTCTGCTGTTCAACAGGCTTCTGAACAAATTTAAACTTTTTAAAATACAAAATGCCTGTTAGCCGTGTCTCTAATAAAACCGCTGTAACTTCAGAGGTAATGTTCATTAATTAATGGTTTTCTTTCATTTCTGATGTACTGCAGAATACTTTAATAAAATCCCAGGCCAGGAAAATCACCTTCATGTTTTTCTGTTTTATCTTCAGCTACTTTGACACAAAGGCCTCTGCTGTGATGCTCACACCTTTGATAAAGTCTGGAAAGTGTCAGCTTCCTTTTTATAGACACAAAAATATGTAAATGTACTGATCTGAATTATATTATTTCTGACTGTCTGAGGCAAAATTTCCCAGATTCGAATCGAATCAAATCGAACCGTGGATCAAATCGATTCAGGACATTGTGAATCGGAATCGAATCGATTCTAGAAATCAGTGACGATACCCAGCCACGCAGTGATTGCACTGAATTTGCTTTTAGAGGCCGATTAGTTGACTAAGTAGTTGATTGATCAAGCATTTTCAATTATAAGGCGATTACACATGAAGACACGGTGCTGTCCGACTCGGGCTGACTGCATTTACTCTCAGACAGACTGGCAAGTCAGTCTGGCGCAGACAGATTGTCAACATATAGCAATCAATGGGAGTCAGTCTGTGCAGGTTAGCAAAATGTACACACAGTGTGCCTTTTTGCAATAGTGAAGATGATTCAGCTGTTTTCAATCTGGTTATATTCCTATATAAATCAAGCACCGGTGTCATTTTGCAGGTAAATAACTGTCCTGCAGCGACTACGTCACTATTTGTGGACAAATTTCTGTCTCGGACATAAGAGGCAGATGTAAGATGGCCTATGCATGCAGCTGGCAACAGATCTGCAAGTTCCCATTTCAACTCTAACAGACAGAGAGTTGAAATCATTGCTGTTTTGCTCCTGCACACAAGTAATTTCAAAGGGAACAATCACAAGTTTATTGGACAAGGTTGCAATAATCTGTCTTCCTTAGTGTGACAGCAGCATAAAAGTCCCCTAAGGAGCCTTTCTGAAGATTTTAGTTGCATCAAAGACCTTTGTAGTACAGTTTGGCTTTTAAGCTTTTCATTCTGATTTACAAGCTAAAGAAGATCCATCTTTTCATTTTCAGAGTCACGGAGGTGTTTTCCACCCATCACAGGGCAAGAGATGAGGTCCACCAGTCATTCAGCCATCCACTCTCACATTCACACATATGGCCAATTTAGAGTCATCGGTCAACCTATCAGACACGTCTTTGGATGTCAGAAAGAAGGGAATACACACACGGACAGGTAGAATGTGCAAACTCCACACAGAAAAGCCCAAGATTCACTCCATAGCAGTCTGTTGAAGTTTACCACAGTCATTCTTCAGGTCTTTGCCCCTGAAACCGTTGTTTCTCTTTTCTGAACTCAGTGGTTTCTGTCATATTTCAGACAGATTTCCAGTGAGAGTGGTCTCTGCCTCTACAGCTACCTGTAGAAAAACCCAGGAATGATTCCAATGGTCATCAAACCACGACTTTACTGACATACACTGAGGTGTCAAAACTTGTCATTAAGGGTATAGAGAAGATCATCGAATGTAGTCTTTATGAGGGAAGAGTTCAAACCTCCAGCTAAGTTTCCATTTATGGCCTGTAAATTCTTCAGTCTTCAGCCCAGGACAGTTTGTAGGCTTTGCGCACACATAGCATATTAGTTCACACATTAGCAGCGACTCCAGTTTTTTCTCAACGTTGTGAACTTTAAAGGTTTCGTCTGCAGCTGCTGTTCTGAGTGTCTCATAACTGCTGAGTTTTGATCCTGGCAGCTGCATCTTGTTCTGTCACCATCAGTCATTTTCAAAATTCATCTCCATCTTTCCAAATACAAACAGACTAAACCACATTCCTGTCTGGGACTGGAGTGCAGAAGGCAACAAGGATGACACAAAGAATAAAGGAAATAAAACAATACATGTGCCTCAGTACAAACATTCCATCCTTCCCATCAAATATTTTGTACTTCACTTTTGCAAGAAAACAGGGAAATAGTTATAATTTCCATCTTCCCGTTCATATCCTCAACAAATACTGAACATAACGCAGAGAGGGACTTGTCCAGGGTGGGTGTCTCTCACCCAGTGTCAGAGTTATAATCTATAACTACCGCTTGTCCTCGACATCGTCAGCAAGATTATGAAACAACTTCCAGGTTGAATTTAATTAAACAATGTGAAATATTTCTATCTCTATATTTCTATAAATACATCAAATCTTTGGTTTTGAAATTGTGTCTAGAGAGCAGATTGTGTAGGTTTTTTGGGCTCTTGTTTTATCTGTCTTTTATAGTGTCCTTTTCAATTTACAATTGAAACCTTGCACCACCACAAGGTTGTGAAACCCTGCCCGTGAGTTAAACTCAGAAAAAGCAAATTAGAAAGATGCTGTGCAAACATCTGAACAGACTGTTGATGCTTTCAGTGACAAAATAATAATTTAAGAGGGAACCATTATGGTTAAGCTCAACAAGAATGTTGCAAACAGAATCCAGATGTGCGTATACTGTGAGCCTCTACCTTATTCTGCCTCCACTTACCGTGAACTCCCGCAGGTTTTCACATTTGTGCGTCTCCTCCCCGGGCGGCTGCCCTGTCCTGCACAGCTTGTTGTGGAGCCACATGAGCAGGTACCAGAAGGACTTGGGGCTTGGAATGATGTTGAACGGAGGCGGCAGCGTGCCGCCCTCGTCAAAGTAACTCATCCACAGCTTGGTGCGTGCAAACTTCCACTCAATGTCAGCATGGTCCTGCAGCAGGAGAAGGAGGCACCTGAATTTACAAGCTCAAGTGACAAGGACAGACATCTGAAATCTCTGAATTCCTCTTCATTAATGGTTGATAACGTCCACTGAACTTAAATATTTGACTTCAATATTTAACATATCAAATTCTCTTTGCAGGGAGCAGTTCACACCATAGCATGAAATCTTAACTTCTTATAAAAGTAATTTGATGAATTTCATAATTATCATTGATCTTTCAGATTATGGAGAAAACTTTTTTATAGTGTTTTGTAATTTAACATGCAGTGACGGTCGCATCCTGATTAAAACAGAAAGCACACTAACCCTAAACAAACAAACTTCTCACGGTATAGGAACTGAGATCAAGAGTGTTCACTGGACAAATGACACCAAACAAGCTTCCCCTCACTCACTAATCCTTTCAGCACACTCGTGCTTTCACTCACAGCAATGAGTTGGTAGGAGTTGTTCATCATGGCGATCAGCATGTTGAGCAGAACCACCAGTGAGATAACGTTGTACGTCCCGAACATGGTTGCCCCGACAAACTCCGTAAACTCGTGGCGAGCCTTCACGTTGGTGACGTACAGATTTAACAGCCCAAATATGGACCAGAAGAGAGACTGGAGAGTCTCAAATAACCTGAGGACAGAGAGAGAGGAAACTTCATAAGGTTCTTCAAAAGATCACAACAACAAACTGCTTTTAAACAAAGTAACCAGACAGACAACGCATAAATAGCTTTTATCTATATAAACCTGTCTCTAACTCCAAGCTTTAATTTGCGCATTATTTAGACACTCACTCAGTTTAAACCACTCGTCTCCCAGTTATGTGTGTTTTCAAATGCAGCTGACAAGCAAAACAAATTTAGACTGATTTGCAATTTAATAGAAATTCAAATCCAAACTGAACACTCAGCTAATGTTGTCAGCATGATTGATATGAGATTTAAACCACCCACAGGAAATGTCTTTTTGGGTAGAAGCAAATGTTATAAGCTGACAGATGTAAGTTCATTATGACTGGGCTAAGCAAAACTGCTCTCACATCGCTAAAGCTGCAGTGAGTGGAGACTAAAACTTTACCTGCATATGAGTCTAACATTTAAATGCACAAATCTGCAATTGTTATCAGAAAATGGCCACAGATCAGAGTTAGTAATATCAGTGCTGAGTTAAACCGAGTCGGCATTTGTTGGCATTTGTTTGCATCCAGATGGCAACACATTACATGCTGCAGCAGGAGAAAGATGAGCATCAAATACACAGTGATGCAGTTTTTTCCTGCACTGAGACAATACGGCGATGTGTCCTTCCTAAGGGTAGATTACTGACCCGCCGTCACTCCAATGACCCTGAAAATGATGTCTTCACACATTTCATTTTTGGGTAATTAGACATTTGTTCGAAATCTGTTTGCTTAATTACAAAATGCACAACCACATTTCCATCTTGGCTCTGAATAAAAACATGAACAGAGAAAGATAACACTTCAGTCCTAGAGAACTGGTTCAACGAACATTTACAGGTCAATCCTTTTCTTGGATAATTGACTGACTTTGTACCAGACCCCTTCCTGATGCAACCTTCCCATTAATCTAGGCTTGTGACAGCCTGAGGCTTGTTCTGTTTACCCTAAAGCTACTACCTAAAATGTTTTAGCATCCACAGGCCAGACCAGAGCGAATTTCTAAAATGATGAAATTGCTGTGTAAAATCGAGGTTATCAGGTGCACAGCTGTTCCCTGCCTCGGGCTCCCTGGGAGGTTTGTCCAGCTACACCTCACCCATCTACACCTTCACAAAGCTGTGTTATGACGTGCCGGTGATGTGGTTAAGGCTTGGTTTTCAAAAATTATTCTCATTTTACAAAGTTCATTCACCTCAGGTTGCGTCCGTGCAGCTCACGCCTGCAAACTGAGCTCTTGCATTTGTCTTGTGACCTTTTAAGCACAAATGTCACTGTAGTAAAAAGCCCCCGAGGGTCTGCCTGCAATGGCGTGTGCGTTCAATAAATGCTCAGTTTGTCCATGATTAAAGCGGACCACCTGTGCTTCTGCTGAACACTTGTCGTAAAGGCAGAAAGAGACCTGCAAAAAATATGGTTCAAAAAACCAAAAAAGCCTCTGTACCTCACCTCGCTTCTCTGCTTTCTCCTCAAATATGACCCACAACTGTTAATCTTGAACCCAGAAGCAGCGCCTGGATGTAGGTGTGATGTGTGCATGTCACTGCAGATAAACAGCGAACCAAACCTGCTTCACTCGGCTTTGGTTCCAAACTTTGGGTTCGGACCTAAAAACAACTCCAGAAGTTTCACTTCTGTAATCTTCACTTATTACCACCCCAGGTTTCCTCTCAGTTTCCATCTGCATTGATTTTTTCCCCACCCTCTCTCTTTTCTCCCCTCCTTCCACCGACTCTTATCATCTCCCTGTGTCACTTCATTCCTCTGTTTACCTCCTTATTTTATTTCCCTTCGCTGCTCGGTCTGTCTCGGTCTCTCAGTCTTTTTTTTTTTGTCTTTTCTGTTTGTGTGACAGTCCCAGTTACAGGGGAGGTTATTGAATTTTTGATGAAATTGGTAGCGGCCGACACTACATCATGAGAATGAAAGAGCGAAAAAGAGCGAGAGAGAGAGAGAGGTTTTGTCTGCGGGGTGTTATATTTGTGCTGCATAAAATATTTAAGACTCCAGCATTTATTCTCATCGCAGCAGGACTGTGTGTTGTCACCGGCGTGTGTGAGTGATCGCTGTATCAATCGGCGTACAGGCTGCGTGTGAGCGATGGTTTCAATGTTTGTGTGCGCGCTCGCTCGGTGCAGAGAGAGACAGAGAGGGCGAGAAACTTCGGAGATTGTGTAAATGAAGAGAGGCGGGGTGAGGGAGGTTGGGGGGTGGGATTGAATCCACGATGAATGAAGCAACCAAGCGTGATATTGCACCACAGTTATGAAACGAGGGGGGGAGGAACGTGTTTAGGAGGGGAATGAACAATGAGCGGGAGGAGGGAGAAACGAGAGGCGGTGAACTTTCAACCGAAGTGAGGAGGAACAAACCTCCTCGTCTTCTCCCTCGAAATTCTCGCCAAGCAACATTTGATGCAATCTCTAGTATCCAGTAATTCATTAGTCCTCCCCTTCTCCACCTTTCTGCTGTTTCCTGTTATCCAAGCTTGGTTTTTCATATCTCTGCTTTGGCTTCACCCACTTGTCCTCGTCCCCTTCGTCTTGCACGCTTGTACCTTTTATTTGATCTTCTCTCTTTCTTTTCTTTGCTTGTTTCTTCTCCTCTCCTCGTTTGCATCCTCTCCCGTCTCATTGACTGTGTCCTCATCTTTCACCTCACCTTATCTATTCTTTGCTCCTTGTTCTCGCTCATCTATTTTTGTTTCCTTCTCTCCGATATCCTTCTGTTTTTCTCCATTCCTCCTTTATTCTCATGTTCAGTTCTTGTTTTCTTCCCTCTTTACTTTAACTTTTCCATCTCCTTTGTTTACCTTTCCCATTCCCTGCTTTTCTCACTTCCTTCCCTAATTTTTCCTTTCCTATTACTCTTCCTCACTCTCACCATTTCCACTCCTATCCTCACTACCATCAGTCCTTGTTTATTCTCTATTTTTTCTCATCCCCCTTTCTCCCCATCTTGCCTCCTTTATGCTTCTGTTCTTTGACCCTTGTGTCCTTATTTGTCTCATTTCTTTTTCACTGTTTTCTACTCTCTCATCATTTCTTCTTCTTTCCACTTTTTGTTTCAACTCCTTGCTTTCTCTCTCTGTCCTCCTGCTCTCCTCACCTTCAGTCCTTTCTCTTCTTTCCATTCTCGCTCCAAATCTCTCCTCTCCACTCCATATTTCTTCCTCTTTCCACCTGCTCCTTCTCTCACCCATAACTTCAGCACTATCAGCCCACTGAATGCCCGTTATCTGTTGTTATCACTCCCATAGGTACCACCAGCAGGCGGCCTGCTCCGGCAGCTAGGTGAGTAAACAGTGACGAGGCCTTTGCCATTACAGCTCCAAATCTGTGGGACAGTCAGCCAACTGGGATCAGTGCTAACATCACCAGTGCCCTTTAAATCTTTTCTGTTATTCAAAGGATTTCATGAATGCTTTATTCTCTTCTTGTCTTTGGTATTTTTTAGCTTTCATCTATAATGTTTTGTTTTAATGATTTCCATTTTGAGTTTGTTTTTTTTATTGAATCTTTTAATCTTTTTCTAAAACACATTTTATGGAACAAACAGGTTATATAAATGTAGTTTATTTTGATTCTATTGCGCAAAAACAATCTTATGTCTTTCTGCTGAAAGGGCAAAAGAAAGGTGAGTGTTTCCTCCGTGACAGATCAAAGACATTGAAAAGAATCCACTGCATAGAGTACTGTGCATAAATCTTGTGCCACTCCTTATTTCTCTATTGTTTGCAATCAAAATGGGAAATAGTTGAAGTTTATTCAAACATATGTAAACACAGAATTACAGTATATGAGGCAAAGACAGAGTTTATACAATTCTAATGAGCTCAATAGTCAATATTTGGTGAGCCCACCTTTGTTCTTCAACACACGCTCTCTTAGGCAGCTTTCTTATCATTTCTTTAAGTAGTCTTCAGGAATAGTTCTCTAGGTTTCGTGAAGGACATTGAAAGCTGTCGAGATGATCCCCACACTGCTGAGGTCCGGGCTCTGGGGAGGCCGACCCATGACTGAAAGTGTTCCACTGTGTGCCTTTCTATCCAGGTGTGCTTTTACTGAACTACCAGTGTTTGGTGTCATTGTCATGCTAAAAAAGTGAAACTGTCCACCAATCAGATTCTTTCCAGACTGCACGGTGGATCAAAGTCTGATGGTACTTTTATGGCCTCACAATTTAATCAGTTTTAGGATCTCCAACGCACCTCCCTCCTGACCTATTCATTCGTCCTCGATCTACACAATTGTACAAGCAAACAACCGAGGACTCGCTTGATTTATGACCTCAGGAAACACGTTTCCACTTAATTTATGGCCTGAATTGCTGGTTTGATTCTTAATGTATACAAGAGAATGTTTATGGCGTTATTTTTGTGCCACTGTTCTGAGCGCACGGAAAAAAAAAATTGCAGGTGCAAGTGTTGCATTTTGAGGAGAAGTTGATTTTGAACGAAGAAAAA